TTAAATCAGTCGCTCAAAAGATATATGCTATAAACAAAAAAGTTTTAATTATTGGGACAATTTTTTGAGTCAGTGTACATAGTAAATCAAAAGTTTTTTTTATACAATTTTTTAAATAATATAATTGTAAACTTTAACTTTTAATTGATAGAAGGCCAGAAGTTTCATCTTTATATAGCCTAATTGAGTTTGAATCTAATTTTTTTATTAATCAAGTATAATTTTCACAGAATATCTAGTAAATATTAATTAAAGATAATTTTTTCTTATGGCTTCAATGTGATATTGAATTCAGGACCTTGTGATTAATAACCTGCGAGTACTATCACTATGCTATAAACCTATATATAAGAAATTCTTGATATTATACTGTATTTATAAAATAAATAACTACATTCAAGAATAAGTAAATGATTATATAAAGACATTTATAAAAATTTTTTTTTAAATAATAAATAATTTGTTGTAAATTAAAAATTATTATAACAGTTTTATCATGTAAAATTTATATAAAATCTATAAAAAATTTTTTTATTTTTATTTTTATTTGATATTTAATGCAAGATGATTTGATATTAAAATTTTATTACAAAAAAAGCTCAACAACCTTGTTCTTTACGTTATAAAAGAAAATACTTGGATTTTTTTTTTAAAAAAAAAATATATTTGCAATCCTTTTTTATTATGCAAAAAAGCTTTCGTTGCTGAATTGTTATTGTATAAAGTTTCCTATAATTCGACAATTTTTCATTGACTTGTAAACAAAAACATTAGCTCAAGAATACAATAATAACAAATTAAACCTTTATAATAAATTTTTAAAACCGAAAGTAATGAAATCAGTGCCAGTACAACAAGACCCCACATTAGGATAGTAAGAACAATTAATTGATAAATGAAGGAAAAGAATAAAAATATTATGTACAATTGACTTCAAAAATTTCAGAGCAATGGTAAACATTTAGCGTATACAATCTACTTAAATTTCTTATGAAATACAATAAGTCGTAAATTATAGGCATTGGAACAAAGGAAAGAAAGAGGATTAAAGGAGAAAATAATATATAGAGAGTATGTAAAAACAAAGGATTATTCATAATATTAAACATTACTTATAGCCGATAAAAAGAAGCATAAATCCCAAGACCTAATGAAAAAATAAGAATAATTTGTGGTGTAAATGACGACACCAAATAAACGTAAACGAATGCAAATGTAAATATTTACGTGAAAATAAATTTTCCCGTCACGACACAAGGCAAACAGTTCATATAAACTTCACATATAATACATAATCTTAAAAAAATGATAATAGCAAAATAAGAGAAATAAGGGACAATTCGAATAAATGCAAAAACCTAGTGAAGCGAATTAATGAAGAAGTTTGAACTTAATTACCCTTGCTAACTCTGGTTTCACAACAGCGAAGCTAGAAGCTTGCCCGATGCCTTCCTCGGTTGACTCGGTATCACTCCATTGTTCGCTGCGCGAATGAAATCTAGCTCGTCTACAAACAATATGTGCATAATAAATTGGCGGTACCTAGGAAAAATATGGTAAAATAAGTTCAAACGGAATATGAATTACAATAACAATTTATAAACCGAACATACTAAAGAAACCGCGCGAGTGCAACGCGCATATAAGTAACATAAGTTATAGGATAACGCCTGCAGGCTTAAAAATATACATATATGTTTATTATGTTAGCTATTATGAAAGGAAACGAAAGTAGATACTGTGAATAAATTTACCCATCCATGGAGAACCGATTTTCATCGTATAAGATATGATAATGAGTAGGCCTGGAAGTTCCTTGGAGGCCCGCGTGACTTTGAAGATCTACATACATAAAAAAAAAAAAGAAAGAAAAGTATTAAACAAATCATTCACCATATTCTTCTACTGTATATTTGCAAACGTAAAATAATATCCTACAAAAATCGAATTCAAATGGATGTGTAATGGTAGATTCAACCACAGTTCCGGGGAGACAATTTCCAGTCCTGTCTGTATCTTTCTTGTCCATAGGAAAGAAGCGAGCATGATGACGTTTCTGAACAACCACGAAAGTGATAGGTGGTTTATATGTTTCGCTCAACGAGGCGCATGCCACTATTGCATAAATTCAGGGGGAGAGGGGCGATGAGCAAAGGGAATTAACCAAAAAAAAAGATGTGGATTTACTTACGTCTCACAGCTTTAATTTCTTCATTCATCACATGAACAAATTGACCTTCGGACACGCCATCACGATAAAAGAGAATTCTTTCTGGTTTTCTACCGCAAGTTTGGTAAAAGTTTTTCAAGAGTTCTTTGACCATAGAGGCCAAATCAGCTATTATTTCGGCGTGTCCCGTTTGAATCCGGATTGTCGTGGAATATCGTGAAGCTTTCGCATCTAATGACGCGCAAACAGCGGAAATAGAAGGGCTAGCGGAATTTCCTAACGAGAATTCAAGGCCAGAAATGATAGCGATAAATAAATGACTTACTACTGTACAGTATAAGGATTTGAGTGAAATACAAAGGTTACAATTACCAGGTGATGGATGAGAAATATCAGCGCCCATCAGAATTGTCGGGCGATCGGAGACAAATGGAATTTGTGCAGGGTTAATGTAAACGTTCATTCCACCAAGTTTGATATTGAGTTTCAGACAAACATTAGCGCAATATTGTTTCTTTGCTTGCATCATATGCCGACCTTGAATGCATTGACTGGGTACTCCGATGATAGTATCGGTGACTCTTTTGATTTCTGCATAAAGAAGAACGCCGGTGTTTGGCAAAATGCATAAGATCAATTGCGGTTGTGCTTTGGCTGCGTTCCCAGCACGAAGCCATGCTTTCTTGAGAGAGGCTTCAACATCTCCCTGTGGGTTGGAATACATTATTGGCGGTGTCTTATTAGGAATACTCTGTCAATCCATAAAGAATAGGTGATGACCATTGGAATAATTTGCGACAGAAAAAAAAAATATATATATATATATATATATATATACTGTATATCCAAATAACTTTAATACCATTCCGTTGTCCAGACAGGTAATAACTAGTTCGCGTACAAATGCTTGAATTGCCGGATGAGGAAAATCATTATCCGATCCGAACACGATAATCGACCAAGAACCAAGAGTGGCCCCTTGAACAACTCTTTTATCTCTCATGTTCCATGCTCCTTCACGCGGGGAGAGAGAGGGTTCTCGAGAAGAATAGTGATATTGGAGAGTGGGCGCCGGCAGGACACGTGCAGGGACCTTGAGATAATAATGATAATTTAATATATTGTATATATGCGTTGACTAAGAAAGTGGCAACTAAAGATGATAACTTACCACGGCCATGTCATTAGAGACAGTCACCCCGAATTGTTGAAGATATTCATTACCACGGTAGTTAAGAATTTCCACACCCTGCCGAATTTTGTTTGCTCGTATATGAGGAGATTGACAGGTGAACCTGATCATATCGGCAGTTTGCTTTTCATCTAGTTTGCGGATATAACGCTGTTCCTGTATGTTATTTGTCAGGTTAGTAAAAAAAATTCGAGTCAGTCTCGTGTGGAAGAACATCTTTACTTAATCTACCGTACCTTAATCACTTCACAAACTTCCAGTGGTAAATAATTATTCCTCGAAACAACCACACAAGGAAGATTAGGGTAAGATAGGCGTTTGCCGTAGGTTCTCTCGAAGTAGTCTGCTACATTAGTAGTAGAACCGTCGCCCATATCGAATATAGTTCGATACGCCGGAGTTTCGGTGACTTTGCTGACCTTGAAACGACGCCTAGAGACGCTTTCCCCTCGATGTGTAACCTTAATTTTTAGATTTTTTAATGATCTTTCGATCTTAACACGCTCTTTTCCGGCAATTCCTCGGCGGAGGTCATCGGGTGTACGTCGACTAAGTAATTTCGTAACCAGCATTATTAAAGGGCCCGATTCGTAAAATGTTGTTGCACTCAAATCGACATTGATCATGATTTTTCCTGCGGTTTCGTTAAAACGAGTCAGCTCAAAACTTCAATGAAAGGAATGTCAAACTTCAAATGCGAACGTGCAATAATAACTCTCTACCTTTTGTCGGACGAGCTGATTGATAGTATCCTTGCCAGGCTTCAATACCGCCGGTAAGGGCGGTAGCACCTTCCTTTGTGAAAAAAGAACGACCAACTGTGACATGTTCCATTGAGGGAAGATGCCTAATAAGCACATCGAAGGCCATGATACCTTCAATTAAAAATAAAAAAAGAATTGTGAATGAAAATGCGCCGAGGATGTAAGTATTTTTTTTCTTTGCCTTTTTTTTTTTTTTGAACTAAATTATAATACCAGTCAAGCAGTTCGCTGTTAATGGGCCTCGATTTTCGAGAAAGCGATGAAGTTCTTCCATAAAAATCACACCGGCTTTCTTCAACTTGATTTTGAAGGCCCTGGGGACTCTTCGTGCGTCATCTTCCGGAAGTGTGACCTATTAAAAGAATTTATGTGTCGATAATATTGTAAAAAAAAGTTACATCTGGAAAGAAAAAAAATTAATCCATTTACGTCGAATATGGCCAATTCTCCAAAGGGTAGATGATGAATTGTGAAAAGGTTTCTACGCCCTGATCAAGGAAGCGAAGGTATCAACACACGTCGAATAGGCACAAAAAAAAAAAAAAAAAAATTTTCACATACCATCAAAAACGGCTCTGGTATTCTGAAGAGTTGAGGTGAAATTATCCCTTTCGAATTGGGCATAAATCTTTCTATTCAACCTCGGGGGTACTTCGGGAGTTATTATGACATCGTAATGAGTAATATTACCTTCCGGAAGAGAAAGCACTTCAAAAAAATTGGAGCGAACTTGTATTCCTTTTCCCAGGTGACCAGAATCAGGTCCTTGCACAAATTCGGTCAGATGCGACATTTTGAGGGTCAAATAAAAAATCTTATAAATAAATTTTTTTGTTTAAGATGGCCGGTAGCGCGCGAAATTGAAAGACAAATTATTTATTCTTGGTTTTTTTATATTAAGTTTGAGGAATCGAAAAAAAAACAAAGATGAATGAATTACAGAGAACGAAATATTATGTAATAATTACAATTGGCATGGATAATAGTACTAATAGAATGATGTCGGTGGAAATGTATTTTCTCTTCTTTGACGGGTTTACCTTGACGTTTGACATTTCGAATGTGTCATTACTAAAACTCGAATGCGATATAAAAGGAAATTTGTGTTTTTTCATTCTCAAGTGTGACATAGTCGTTTTCACGCGATTTCAGATATAATATGTTGATGGAAAGAAAATTTTTTTTTTCAAAAAAAATAAAATAAAAAACCAAAATCAAAAACAAAGTGCTACACTATTTCCGCTATTTCCATGATTATTGTTTAATGACGTATCATATTATGAGAAAAGGACTTTTTTATTCTCAATTTGATTATAAGCTCAATTAACCTTTTGACTCAAATCTTATCGAAATAACGTCACGGACATGAAATAATTTAAAGTACGTATGCATTCATGCCGATAATCAAACAATAATTTTTTTTTTTTTTTTTTTTTTTTTTTTTTTTTTGCGATGGAGTGAATTGCCCTTCATTTAGAAAAAACCATATATCCTTTTCCAGGAGTAATGGGATAGCAGAGGAAGATCATGGAAGACGAGTACAGTACCATGTTTATACCTTTATTATTATTATTATTAGAAAATAGATTCAGTACGTCGGTTGATATACACACAGTACGTCAAACCTTCATGGATGCAATACCGAGTCGATCTTCTCCAAAGTTGATAACAATTGCACTTTGTTTCCACTTACAGTATGTTCACAATGATTTATGTAGATCACAATCTCATTTCTTATATGCCAGACGATCAATTTGAAATAGAATTTTCACTCTTTCTTCAATTGCGGAATGGATTCAATGGATGTAACATACAACGTATCAGGGGAGAATGGTAATGATGGTGTCAATGGTACAAGTTACTACAATGCTTCGACGCATTACGGTCGGAATGGTGGAGATTCGACAGCACCGGGTGCAGGGACAAAGGGGGGGACAATCAAAATCCGTTTATCTTCCGTGGAAAATCCCATAGGTCCTGGACACATTCATATTGAAGGATCTTTGAATCATCCTTTCGGTCATAGAGAATTGATCAATGAAGACGTTTTTTTGGGCATGGATGGTCTAATCAATCTTTTCGCGCAAGGTGGACGTGGTGGTAATGGGGTAGGTTAGGTTGCAATATTAAACTTGATGTTGGTGATAGAGGGATAAAGAAAGATGACCATTTTCCCCTTAAAATAGGCCAACGGCGGGAGGGGACAGGATGGAGCTAAAGGACTAGGTAAGATCATACAGGATTTTCCGTGATTTGCATTTGACTTGGTAGGTCTAATAACAAAAAAAAAAAAAAATAGACGGAACGGACGCCACCAAATACTCCAGAGGGACCGATGGTGGTTCAGGTTGTAATGGGGGTCACGCCGGTTCGGGTTCAAGCGGAGCTGACGGTTGGTATTTCGAGTTCATGGACCCTGCTTTAAATTTTTTAATGATAATCTTATTCTCCAAAAAAAAAAAAAAAAAATCTTCGAAAGGTGGCTCCGGAGGCACCATTTCGGTGACCGTGTCTGAAGAAGATTCGTATTTACTGCATTTACTCGGTACACATAACGTTGAGGGTGGAGTTGGAGGATCTCCTGGGAGAAATGGACAGCGTAAGGAATTGAATATTTTAAGTTAGACAAAGTGCAGACGCTAAATTAAATATCTCGATAGATAGCCGGCAGAGGTGGAAGGGGGGGGGAGGGGGGGAAGAATGAAACAATGGTCGGATGCAGAGCGCGACTATCAAGGAAATACACGTCAGATATCCCGAACTCAAGCGGGTGGTATTGACGGTGCTAACGGTCGAGATGGATTTTCATCGAATGCGCAACCGACAACTGGAAAACAAGGAATGAGGGGCAATTTTTCATTTGGCATTATCATTAATGGATCGGTGATCACATATAACGATCTCTTCAAGTTGGAGATCATCGATTTCAAATACGAAACACAGGATGCGTCCGGAATTATCGAACCTTCTGGACGAGTTATAATTCACAGCATGAGGTTTAGAAATTATGGAACAATGCCCACTCCAAGGCACAAGGACATACGGATATCGCTTCGACCGTTTAACAACATCGTAGCAAATAGCACACAGGTCAACGCACCGAGGCACATTCTATCGGGTAAAACCGCGATTTCGCGGGACCCGTTACACATTAGAATAGACGACATAAACACTGTGAGCGATGGAAGCCCACTTCAACAATCCGTCGATGTAGGATTCATGGCTACAATGACAGGCATTGAACGACCTCTGCAATTATTGCTCAAGAATCAACTTCATTTCACCGTCCAATACCCGATAAATATCGGTGAAGTGATAGCCATACACGTGCCGGGTGACAAATATACATATGAAATCTTCTGTTCTGTAACTAATGTAGGACGCTGTGATCTTGGTCGACAGTCGAATTGCGGTCGTCATGTTCGAGCGGCATTAAACAAAGGTGAAATGGTCGACAATCAACGACCTCTTGAACTAGAGGAAATAAACCTATTGCATGCAGGCGAGTCAAAACAACTCAGATATCGCGTCCAACTAGACAATACGCTGGGAAACGATCAGCAGCAGCATTTTTCGGTGACATTGCAAATTGGCAAGATGGATCAACAGGATCTACTAAAATCAATTCAAAGACGAAAATTTCTACTTAGACCGGCGAGATATAAGGAAAATGATCTATTACTTTGCACATTTCATAATGCGTGCACAAATATACCAAATGATCAACAAATTAATGCAGAATATAGAGGTGTGATCGACATCAAATTATCCAATCCAATCAACGCAACAAATTTGGGAGAAGTAAAGATTTCTGGTACCATAAAGTATAGCAGCGGTTGTAAAATTGAATTGGATCATAATTTTTCCTTCCGGACAGATGGGCATATCTACATCTCAACTGGATACCAGGGTGGAGATGTAACTATCACAGTTGCCGAGCACGAATCACATTTATTGTTACTCCTTGCGCACAACTTTGACAATAATAATAACTCCCGTACTAGATGGAAGTTTAAGGTTGTCAATGAAACGCATAATCGAATTGAAGAATATGACAAACCTTTCAAATTAGAAGTTTACGATTTTATCGTCCGATCAGATGTCCTGGAGGATGTGCATGAGCCGGGCGGCAAAGCAAGCATACGTAATATCAAGCTTCGCAATTTAAGTAGGATGCCTACACCAGGCAATCACGAAATACGAATCTCCCTTTCTTCAAGTGATTGGATAGTTCCGGATGATATATCGCTTACGCTTCCGAAATTATTGCCTTTCGGGGATGTTGAGCTCACAACACAGAGACCGTTTGAATTTTCGTTGCGTGACGATGTCGAAATTAATCATATCCCATTAAAAATTCATGATAGAATTCAATTCAGTGCGATCATGACAGCCGGAAATCGATTATTGCCATCATTTAGCATAGCGCAACCAATTTTAATTCAGCATCCAATTGAAATAAACAAATTTGTCGGATTTCGTTATCCCGGTAGGGATGAAACGTTTGGCGTTTTCTGGTGTGTTGAAAATAATAGTCGGATGAAATTCGGTCGGAAAACGGAATTGAGTCGCGCGATTGAAATATCCTTATCTAAAATTACCTCTGATGCGGATGATTGCACGATCTTCTTTAAGAAAGATTTAACATTCACATCAAACGAAATCAAGAATATGAGAACAAAGGTCACGTTGGAAAAAAAGGGCGATGGATACGTTAGCACCAAATTTGAATCGCACTTGCGATCGGGAACACCCGAATTTCCGGAAACACCAAGTACAATCCAACTGCACCGATTTCAACTTTCGCCATTTACGAGCCACACCTATAGTCCATTTGATTTGATCCTAAACCTGGGCGAGGGTCGTTTGACCGAAAACGGGAATCAGCCAGGAGATCACTCGCAAAATGGAGAAATTCACATTTTCATGCATGCCCCGAATAGAGCAAAAAATAAGCCTGGGGACTTGTCGATCCGAGGCACACTAAAGTACACAAATGGCTGGAAAACTGAATTTGACGATTGGTTTTCCCTGGGAAGGGTTGGATTGGTCCATCTTATTCCAAATGGAAATAATGATTTAACTTCGGGCACCATTAATGTTGAATGCCCGGTTGAAGAAACACATCTCTTCTACTTGATTCACGAGGCCACACTCACCAAGTGTCGAAATGTGCAATTGCAAGTTCAATCGGGTCAATGGTTAAAGCGATATCGAAGATTGTATAAACTCGAATTGGTAGATTTTGAATGCGAGCCCGAAGATCAAAGCTCAGTTTATGAGCCTGGAGCGAAAGCTTTCATAAGTAAAATTGTAGTGAAAAATACGGGGGAAATGCCAACCCCTAGCGGTAAGGATATCCTAGTTTTCATCATTTCGTCTCATGGGATAATCCCAACTGGCGAGATAATTTTGCCGAAATCGATCGGGGATTCCTGTGAGGAAACGTTGAATCTAAAAAGAAACAATGACGACATGTTATGCTTTAACATCAAGCGCGAGTGCAAGCCATCATATGAAAGAACGTTTAGCGCGACATACAATATTAACCTAAGGGCGAATATGACCGGCATAGAACGCCCGATAACGTCATTTACCAAACTCAAAAATCTTGAAATCAAATATCCAATTCGGATATGTTCTAAAACGGGAATTCAAGATTTTGCCAACAATGATGAGACGAGAGTTATTTGGATGTTGGATAACATTAGTCGAATACCATTCGGTGCAAAATCGAAACTTAGAAGAATAGTAAAAGTTGGAGTTAGTCTCACCGAGGTTGAACCACCCGACAGTCTAAAATTCTTGAGAGATGATGACTCCAAAGATTTAGAAAACACACCCGTCAATTATCACGAACAAGAAGTCATCTTGCTTGAAGCTAACCGAGCGGTTCTAATGGTTTGCACATTAGTTCCTAACAAGAATAAACTCGTCTCTGATGATGATGATGGTTTACCTCAACTCATTAAAGCAAGACTTTTGATTACCCTCAAACTCGGTTCCATAGAGGATCCTACTAGAGCCAATGACATCGAGATTAGAAAACACGAAATGGTGATATCACCGAAGTATGAACCAAATAAAAAAGCAGAGGTACTCATGGTGATCAATCGTGACACCAGGATAGAAGAGTACGACGCGTGGAGCCGACTATTTCGTGAATTGAATTTAAGAGGTTCTACGTGGGATCTATCCAGAATGGGTCACTTTGACTTATTTTCCCCTTACTCGGGTTCAGCATCGTGTGAATCAACCGAATTCACCGACTCTACTATCGTTGATGATGACAGACAACCATCAATACATGAAGATGGAGCCTTCCTCGAGACAGCTGGCAAAGAAAATTCTAGATTAATTCAACGTGAACGAGGATCGTCCGATACCCTTTCTAATGAAGGGAACGCAGTGACAACAAGTTTTCTGGCAGCAGATTTCCGGGAAAAAACCATTGTTATTCTCAATAATTTATTTAAAGATATTAGTAATATTCATGATTTGAAGGTTAAGAAAAATGTTTTCTCCAGAGCATTGGACTATCTTGATCCTAGTCAAATGCTTCAAGCATTTCGAGGTTATGGCGTCAAATTTTACATTGTTGGTACGGAGATCGATGATAAAACACTTCGAGGATATTTTATTCCAAGAAATGTCATCAGCTCATCTATAATAATGCCAGACCCAACAATTAGAAGATACATTCAATACAAGGAAAATTTCGAACTTGATTGTAGTCAGATGAATGGGAGCATCGAAAATGAACAAATTGAATGCGTTGAAACCTATCTAAGACCAATGTTTCACTTCATGTCATCCGAGGAGTCTTATGTGAAGCAAAAAATCTGTAGAATAAGTAAATCATTGCAGACACTTTATCCAGAGCGACGACATTTGATTATAACTAAGCAAGGCAAGGATCGTGGTGATGATCGAGTCTTTATTTGCAGAACCGTTGACAGAACTCAAAGACATCTAGGTCATATAAACATGAACGATGATGATATTCACATTCCAGAAACAGTTAACAGCAACGAAAATACAATTGGACTATTATCCTGCATACCGTTCGCTAGAAGACTAGAAAAATTAAAAGAACTAACATCCGAATCAATTCAAAATAAAAAAGTAGATTTCCGATTATTGAAGTCCCTTCAAAAATTATTAGAAGTCGATTTAACGATGGAATTGGTTGGATTATGTAGAATACGCGAAATCAAAAACTTACCTGTCAAACCTCTATCTGTCTCAAACGCGAAATTCCTCGAGAAATTCTGTGATTTTTTTGTTTATGTATTTGCAGAGACGAAATCTGCTGAGAATTATCACTCGCAATGGATACTCGACGTTATGGTTAACCTAAAAGTAATGCTCGATTGTGGAAAGAAATGGACCGACATTCTGAAGCCAAATACAATCCTAAGATCCCAAATTTTGGGACAAATCCTTCAGGAAGAATATAGAAAAGCATTTGAAAAAATATCCGAAGGGGTACCAGGCATCATTAGTCAATCACAGAATCACGTTCTAGCGCAGAAAAAGAGGCGGGAACAAGAACTTAATCTAGGGCAGAATGAATCAAAGGATGATAAATTTCATTTCGCAATCAACCAGATGTTGGGGTTTTTAAATGACATTAATGTGTTGAAAAATGATTGGAATATCTTAGATGAGGATATGGAGATTGTGATAACAGATGAAGAATATCAGGCACTCGAAAATGATTATGAAAAGAGAGCTTCCATGATTCATGAGAGGATCACCGCTTTTGAAATTTTTAATAGTAACTTGACCAAACAAATTCCGATGACATTTGATGTGTGAAAGCGAAATAGATTTAATTTAATCAAAAATAGAATCATAAATATAGTGCAATCATCCACATTTGATTTGGATTACGCTATGAGGGTAGTGTTCAATACGCTGTCTCCCGTGCCATATCTTATAAAAATACTGTACCGTATATCGGCCACGTGAATTAAATTACAGTATACGTATACAGTATATTTTTAACGAGAGTCAAATGGAATATGTTGATGGCTTGCCCACGCGCCGATGTACAGTATTTATCACTTAAGTAGGATGGCTCACTAAAGGTGTAGCGCTCTAAATTTCATATTTACTCTTCGTCATTTCCTCGACGCTTTCTTATATATGTATTATCAAAACAACTATATAATTTACTAATAGAAATTTTGTGCGATTTTATTCTAAAAAAAAAAATCATTGGATATATAATATTTATTAAAAAAAAATTCTTAACAATAAAAGAAGCACCGCTAGCAGGTGAAAAAAAAATATATTCACGTGGTAATGATGAAAATGATTTTCTTAATATATATATTTTTTTTAATTACTAGGATATTATTATAATTATAAAGTATATAATGGCTCACAACAAGTTTGAAATCACTTATAACTTTAATAATTTATATTATCTAAAGCCTCTGTTATTTTCTATTTTTTTTTCGGAATTATTATTATTATTATTATTATTATTATTTTATTTTATTTTTTTTTTTTGATATGCATTTTTTGGAGTTAAAAATCAATTCGGTTTATAATGCCTTGAGTCAATGATAAAGGTTGTAAAATACCAACAGTCTTTTATTACCACTTTAAATATCAACATACAAATTCAAAGTGTAAAATTGAGATTATATTAGACGAATTAAGAAATTAAGAAATTTTAATTTTTAATTTCAATTTATACTTTAAAGTCATGAAATAATATTTAAAATAGTAACAAAAGGTTACAGGCATTTTAACTCAAGAAGCAACTTTTATTACTGATCCAAACATATTATGTATTTTTTGAATATTAATTAATGTCCTCTTTTAAATATTTTTAATTAATATTTATTATATCATTTTTTGATTTTTTGAAAATTGTAAAACTTATATTGTTATTAAAAATTTTTGAAAAATACAAAATTTGAATAGTATTAAATATAAATTTGATATTTAAATCAATAGTATAATAATAGTGTATCCATGTTACCAAATGTAGTTTTCAAATTAAATCATTACCAGATAAAATTATTTACAAATAATACAAAAAGATTTTGTTTGTTCTATATAAAAATTTGACTATTTATAATCAAAAACTTTGTTCAATCACAAAATTTAAAAAATAATTAAATATTTAGATCAATTTTTGCATTCAAATTATCATATTATTTATAAGATTTCTTAAATTATAATAAATAAGTAAAAATTTATTAATTAAAAAAGTATTGCAAACTCTTTCCCATTCATCTGAGATGCAGTAAACTAGAATAGGAACCTTTATCAAAACACAATATGTGAAGAACAACCAGGAGCGCAAGCTCCCACTCAAGGCCCAACTATAACAAAAATGCACTGTCCAAGGGTATGGTCAATCCTATCAAAAAAGAAACAAACTCAAAAAGCATAAAGAAACCCAATACCTTCACTAGACTCAACCCCATCAATACGAACACAATTTTCAGTACCTCAAACAAGGCACCACTCACTGACTTCTGAAACAACAATCCTTTGATGAACACTCAACCTAACAATACGGAATCTTGGAGCGAACAAGTCGAAAAAAACCTAGCAAGACAAACCCCGGAACCAAACCATATCTCTCTCCAACCTCCTTCCAAAGAGAAAGAAAAAGAGACACCCGACAACAAAGAATCCACCATGCAACCCAAGAAAATTAATGACTCCGACACAGAAATGATGGATGATAGTGAACCAGAACTTGTAGGACCCATAACAAACAACACAAAGTGACAAAAAGTAGAAAACAGAAACCCTCGCCCTCTACCCAAATCTTCCTTCGATCCTCAAACTAAATATAACAGAACTCGAAGCAAAATCAGCATCATAGCTGATAAAGTCCCTGGTAAAACCATCGGTAAAAAGATTCTTGCAGTAACCAGAGTCCTTGGATTATCCGAAAGTCTCCTCAATATTAGAAGTGAATCCCACGACAACATCCTCTACATCACAGCCCTCTTTGGCAATAAGAAAGCAGCCCAAACTGGAAGCACTATAACATTACCAGATACGGACAACAAGAAACTCACGCACATGGAGATCAGCAACCCTACTACCAAATTAGAGAACAGTATCAGAGTATGGGACATCCCACTGTACACAAAACTTATAAACGTCCAACTTACCTTTGCCAAATTTGGAACGATCACCAACATCACCATGCGAACACAACAAATATGGCAAACTGCGACTATCACTTACCAAGACAAAAAGAGCAGAGATCAATTGGTAACCCAGGGTAGCACACTAATCAAAGAAGACTCAATAAGGATCTTTGATGCAATCCTTAACATGGAGCAGATGAAAGATAAGGTCTCCACCGCAGCCAAACTTATAGGCCTCCCCCCTAATACAACAGCTTTCAACCTTAAACACATATTAGAACAAATCAATGGCAAAACCTGTTACATCCCTTACCGCAAGTCATACACTAGGAAAAGATTTGCAGTTATTAGCTTTGAAACCAAAACTGATCTCGACAATGCTCTGAACAGAGTATTCACATTAGGAGAAACTGATGTTACTCTCCTCCCAATAATCCCTAAACTTTGCGCTATATATGACCAGGCTGACCATCTAGCTGCTCAATGCTCCAGGAAAGAAACATGACAACAATGGATGGAATATAACAAGGAACAAGCCAAAAGATTTGACAAGCTTTACAACAAATTTCAGCCCATGGATATCAGAAATATCCACCAACACATCCCAGTTGCCCCAAAGACAAAAGCTCATGGATCATATACTGCAGTCCTCCGATCCTACCATAACCACCAACCACAAAGTAATCAAGAATAAGACCTCCTCTCCAACATCTTACAAACCCTCAATATGATCAAGGAAGAAATCGCTGAAATCAAAGAAACTATCTCAGACCTCGACGAACACATCACCAACCTCGAATACTATGATGAAGATGGTGTAGGTAACATGGAAACAGATCTCAAGATGCCTTCACCTCTCAACTCTACACGACCATCATCCCTAAACCAAAACCAAGACATTCAAGAGACACAACACCAACTTTACTCCTCCATTAATAAAATGGACCGAAATATGAACACCATCATGAATGCAATCTCCACCCTAATTCTGAACAATCCCGCCCATCCATTCACCTCACAATAATGGAAAACAACCAAAGCAACTTTGAGAATGCAAAAGTAACCCACGAGTAATCGAACAAAAACACAACTCATACTATTTCCAATAACAACTTAGACAGCTATACGCAAGATACATCTATATTAACCCCACCCACACTGACTCAAACCTCCACACAACATTCAAAACTAACAAACCCAGCATAACTATACAAAAATCCCGACTACATAGACAAACCCTATCTCACTAGTACAACTCTAAACTATCAAGGACTCAAAGACAAAACAAAACACTCCATATGGGAGGAGACATGGACACAACAACAATAGGACATCATAATCTCAATTGAAACAAACCAGAACAATGATAAATAATCCTGAAAAGCAAATGTATACACTACCTGATGGAAAGGCAAAGGCCACGACACAGGTATCAGTATTGCAATCCATCACAACCTCAGGGATAGAGTCATCAGTATCAACAGATACGAAGGCAGAATCCTTTGCATTAACCTAGCCTTCCCCAAAAAGAGATACATACAAATCATAGGAATATATCTACCTGCCACACCTAACCAGCAAAAGAGAAGACTTATGCAAACAATAATCGACATAATTGCCAAAAAAAACAATGAGAACTGGTACATAATTCTAGCCGGTAACTTCAATACGTACCCAAACTGTCACAAAGATAAGTATAGCCCTACAAGAAGACATCACTTGAACAAAATTGAACCCTTCTTCGACAAACTCACTACAATGAACATTATAGACACATACTGCTACCTCTATTTACATGTCAAAGAATATACATGGTCCACTAAATGGACAGTCAACTCTTCAAAAAGTAAAAATAATGCAATTTGAATCTTCTCACATCCAACCTGGTGCCCTATAGATGCATACATTTCAAAACAAAATATAGCTACAGACCACAGAGCAGTCTCAACACATATAGAAACATGGCAACTTCAAACTCCTACCAAATGTTTCCATCACCACACAAATGTGATCAGATTCAACTGGGCAGCAACATCTTAACAGTCTTGGCAAAAGTTCGCTGAATTCATAGACTCATACATGCCCACCTGGAACCAAATGATGAATGAGAATGTAGACACCAACAAACTCTGGACCATCCTTCATAACTGAATTCTGGCAGTAGCAAACAGCCACATTGCAAAATACAAAGAAAGAAAAAGAAAAAGATCAAAAAACATCTCTTCACCAAGATCCATACTCCGGCACCAGCTGGCAGAAGCCACGCACCAACTCAAGTATCTCAAGAACCACAATCCAAAATTTAACCATCCATCCTATCATCCCTAACCAAAAGTATCCAAGAACAGATCCCCTTCCTAACCATCAAGGAAAGCGACAATCTCGACTCAACCATTAAAGAAATTGAGCAATGGATTGATACTGAAAAACTCAGATACAAAAAATCTATCGACCAACGAATCAGAAATGATATTCAAAAAGCAAAATCCAGACGTTAGAACTGGTTCAACACAAACAAAAAGCAAATGATTAGATCCCTACTCAACCAACCCAAGCGAAGCATTATAACCAATAGACTCATCAAAGAAGTTCAAGATAAGAAGACAGTAATCACAGATCCCATACAGATAAAACAAACAATCCGATAACACTTTGAAGACTGAACACATTAATGAGATATCAAAAACATCG